TCTTCAGGTTTGGCTCTTTTTTTTGTGGTTTTTTTTTTTTTTCGTTGCAGAGAGTGGCTCAGTGTTTGCCTTCGGGGAGAATAAAATGGGGCAGCTGGGGTTAGGGAACCAGACCGACGCCGTACCCAGCCCTACACAGGTATCACCGCGCCTTTCCCTGCTTCCCCTCGTGTTTTTTGGGTGAAAACCCAACAGATTTGGGGTTTTCTCATGGAAAAAAAAAAAAAATCCCTAGCAGATCCCAAACGTCTTGAGGATGCTAGAGCATCCGTCTTAGGGGTGCTGCTTTATTTGGTGCAAATAAATGCAAAGAGGAATTTGAAATAAAACCCCAGATTTGAGGATTTTGTGGTTTCCCCTGGGAAATTCAGCTTTTTTCCCTTTTTGCTTGGGGGGGGTTTTTTGTTTGGGTTTTTTTTTTTTTTAATGCCTTTTTCTGCTTCTCCTGCAGATCATGTACAACGGGCAGCCCATCACCAAGCTGGCCTGCGGGGCCGAATTCAGCATGATCATGGATTGCAAAGGAAACCTCTACTCCTTTGGGTGCCCCGAGTACGGGCAGCTGGGTACGGTGCTGTTTTGGGGCGATTTGCTAAAATTTTGAGCTATTACAGGATTGGGGGAGGGGAAAAGTTCCCTGCCTCAGTTTCCCCATCTGGGCAACCGAAACATCCCTTTACCTCCAGCAAAAAGAGCTGCAACTAAATAGGGTTTTGCAAGAGGAGAGGGGATTTATGGCTTGGAAATAATGGGGGGCGGGCAGGGACACCCCGTTTTCACCCCGGTGCTTGTCCACAGGGCATAATTCGGATGGGAAGTTCATCGCCCGGGCGCAGCGGATAGAGTACGACTGCGAGCTGGTGCCGCGCCGCGTGGCCATCTTCATCGAGAAGACCAAAGATGGGCAGATCCTGCCCGTCCCCAACGTGGTGGTGCGGGACGTGGCGTGCGGGGCCAACCACACGGTACGGGGGGGTGTTTGAGCCCCTGAACCCCTGCAGCGGGAGAGGTTTGCACCTTGCCTTACGGGGTAAAGACCTGCAGGAGGATTTGAGGGTAAAGATTTGCAGCCTGCGTGGAAGGTTAGACATCTACAGGGTGCCTGTAAGGGTAAAGGTCTTCAGGGTGCATTTAAATATCAAAATTTGCAGCTTGTGTTTAAGGATAAATATTTGCAGCCTGCATTTAGGGACAGAAGTTTTGCAGCGTGCATTTGTGGATCGAGATTTGCATTGTGCGTATAAAGATAAATACTTGCAGTGTGCATGTAAAGAGAAATACTTGCAGCGTGCATTTAAGAATAGAGGTTTGCAGGGTGCGTGTAAGGATAAAGATTTTCAGGGGCTTTTCAGGTATCAAAATGTTCAGTATGTATAAGGATAAATATTTGCAGCCTGCATTTATGGGTAAAGATTTGCAGCGTGCATTTAAAAATAGAGGTTTGCAGCATTCGTGTAAGGATCAAGATCTTCGGGGGCTTTTCAGGTATCAAAATTTGCAGTATGTGTATAAGGATAAATATTTGCAGCCTACGTTTATGGGTCAAGATTTGCAGCGTGCATCTAAGTTTAAAGATTTGCACTGTGCATATAAAGATAAATACTTGCAGCGTGCATTTAAGAATAGAGGTTTGCAGCGTGTGTGTAAGGATCAAGATCTTCAGGGGCTTTTCAGGTATCAAAATTTGCAGTATGTTATTAGGAATAAATATTTGCAGCCTTCATTTAGGGATAAAAGCTTTGCGGTGTGAATTTATGGGTAGAGATTTGCATTGTTGCTTATAAAGATAAATACTTGCAGCGTGCATTTAAGAATAGAAGTTTGCAGGGTGGGTGTATCAAGGATAAAGATCTTCAAGGGCTGTTTAAGTATCAAAATTTGCAAGCATGTGTAAAAATCTGCAGCCAGCATTTAAAGGTCAAGATTTGCAGCCTGCATTTAAGGATAAAGTTTTACAGCGTGCATTTAATACAGAGATTTGCACCGTGCGTATAAGGATAAATACTTGCAGCGTGTGTTCAAGAATAGAGGTTTGCAGCGTGCATATCAGGATAAATATTCGCAGTGTGTGTTTAAGGATAAGTACTTGTAGTGTGCATTTAAGGCTAAAGATTTGCAGTGTGGAATTAAGGATAAATATTTGCAGGGCGCATTTAGCATTTGCAATGCACTCGGCAGTGACCATTTATTGTGGCCGCTGCGGCTTTTCCTGCGCTGAGCTGGTCAGGTCTCAGCTGTTCATGGTTACGGGGGGACATTTCTTGGCCCCCAGCTCGTCCTGGACTCGCAGAAGCGCGTTTTCTCCTGGGGGTTTGGGGGTTACGGGCGGCTGGGCCACGCCGAGCAGAAGGACGAGATGGTGCCTCGGCTGGTCAAGCTCTTCGACTTCCCGGGGCGCGGGGCGGCGCAGATCTACGCCGGCTACACATGTTCCTTCGCCGTCAGCGAGACAGGTCAGGATTTTGGCTTTTTGAAGCAAATCCATCATTATTTGGGGTGTTTTGAGGAGGTTTGGGGGGTGCCGTAGCTTGACGGGTGATGTCGGGGTTTGCAGGCGGCTTGTTTTTTTGGGGTGCCACCAACACCTCCCGGGAGTCCACCATGTACCCCAAAGCTGTGCAGGACCTCTGCGGCTGGAAAATCCGCAGCCTGGCCTGTGGGTAAGTCCAAGCTCTGCCCTCCCTCCCCTCCAAACCCACCCCAATTTCCTGCTTTTTTGGGGTGCAGCCACCTGCAGGGTGGTTTGGGGGGGGGGTCATGGGGTCACTCTGCCTTGCACCTCGCTACAGGAAGAGCAGCATCATCGTGGCAGCGGATGAGAGCACCATCAGCTGGGGCCCCTCTCCCACCTTCGGGGAGCTGGTAAGGATTTACTGAGGACCCCCAACCCCTTGACACCCCAAATTCCCCCACCCCCACCCCACTGATCTTCCCCCCTCTCCATGGGATGCACTTGGCAGGGCTATGGGGACCACAAGCCCAAGTCCTCGACAGCCGCCCAGGAGGTGAAGACCCTGGATGGGATCTACACGGAGCAGGTGAGCGGGGGAGCACACTGGAGGAGGCTGAAGGGAGGGTGCGTGGATCCCCCCTTAAATAAACACAGCAGCCGATGCCGTATGCAACTTATTGCACCCATGGGATGCCAGAGGAAGGGCGTGTGGGCCCCCCCTTTAAATAAATACAGTGGCTGAGGCTGTGTACAGCTCATCACACCCGTGGGATGCTGGAGGGAGGGTGTGTGGACACCCCCCGCTTATATAAATCTGGCGACTGAGGCCGTACACAATTCATCGCACCCATGGGACGCTGGAGGGAGGGTGCATGGGGTTCCCCCCGCCCCTTACATAGATTGAGCAGCTGAGGCTGTACACAACTCGTCACACCCATGGGATGCGAAATGTGGTCCTGGATAAAAGTAAGTGGGGGGGGAAAAAGCATCGGGGATGAGGCGCGTGGCCCCGTGCCTCAGTTTCCCCCCCCTCCCAGGTGGCCATGGGCTATGCCCACTCGCTGGTGATCGCCCGCGACGAGACCGACGCCGAAAAAGAGAAACTCCGCAAGCTGCCCGAGTACAACCCCCGCACCATCTGAGGGGCTCCCCCCCCCGCCGGGACCCCCCCAAAACCCCGCTTTTCCAAGCCAGCCGTGGTTTTAACTACCTGTTCTCCCATTTCCAAAGCCTTGGGGGGGGGTTTATTTTGCCCCCTCTTCCCCTCCCCACGGCTTTTTGAGTTCCCAACCGTAGCAGGATCTTTTGGCACATCCAGGCTTGTTTTTTGGGGGTTGTTTTTTTAATTGTTTTAATTTTATTTGTATTTTTCTGCATCACTTTTTATTATTTCCCCTTTTTCTAGCCACAAATGCCCCCAGCTGTGGGCTCGGGGTAAATTTGGGGACCTGAAAAGCAGCTGCAAAAACACCTCTTTTCCCCCAATATTCCAATTTTTTTGGCATTTTTCCCAAATACCCCCCATTTTGGGTGCTGTAGTTTTGGGGGTTCCCCCCCTCCTCCAGCATCCCTTTTCCCAGCCGGATTCAGGATATGGATGTTATCCCACATCCCCCAAGGGCCAAACCCCTCCCCAGCATCATTTTGGGGCTCCCCTCCCCGCTATCCCAGCCCTCGCCCACCCCAGGGAGATCTCAGGTATGAAGAGGGGAGCCCGAAAGCATCACGTAAGCTTTTTCTTGGAATTATTCTTAATTTGTTTTTTAACTATTATTAATTATTTCCGCCTGGTATCAGCCCAAAGTCCCTCCTACAACGCTGTGCACTGTGCTGGAGAAACGAGGTGCCTTTTAGAGCAGAGCCCAGCTCTGCCTCCATGCAACCCAAGGGTGACTTTTTTTTTTTTAAATTTTTATCTTTGAATTTGTAGGGTTTATTCTGAATTTTTAATATTTTTTTGTAAGTCCTTTCCACTCCCCCCCCGAGGGGTCGCGCTGGGTGCTTGGGGGGTGGCGTTTGCCACATTCGCACCCATTTGGGGAGTTTTGCAGTAAAAAAAAAAAAAAAGGGTTTGGGTTTTTTTTTCATTTGAGTTGGGGTTGGGGGATATTTTGGGGTTTTTCGGGGGTGTGTTAGAAATATCCAGGACAGGGAGAGCAGCTGGGTGGAAAAGTCAAATATTCTGCTTTTTTAGCAATACTAGTTTTTTGGGGGTTGTGGTATGAGCAGATGCTGCAACCCCAATAAAACGGGGTGGAAAAAAAATCACCAAAAACCCACTTTTACCCCTCAAAAAAAGCATCATTTCGGTTCATCCTGCCCGCCAGCAAAGTATTTTTAGCCTGATGAAACTTCTCCCACCTTGGCTGCCACGTGCTGGCTGCGGGCAAGGGAAGGAGGAAGCTCGAGGAAGAAAATAATCCAAAACCACGAGGATCTCAAAACAACTTGTCCTTTAGCAAAGAGGGTCCTGGGTTAGTGCTGTAATTGTCTTCTTCATGGTTTTTTTTTTTTTATATTTCTTGGAGTAAATGTTAAAATAAACGACGTCATTGTGTAACCCCTTTTTGGTCCTCTTGCTTTATCCACCCCAAATTTTAATTTTTTTTTAAATTTTTAATTTATAGTTATTAATTTTTAATTTATTTTTTTCTCTTTTCCATTTATTTGACATTTTTAAACTTGATTTTTAAAATTTTTAAATTAAAAAAATTAAATTCATTTAACCAAAGAGCCATGTGCAGGGGATGCTTTTTCCTCCCCATGATGCACACCCAGCATACCCCAAAGCCAATCCACAGCCATGAGAGGGCACCATCCTGCTGCCGACAGCATCCTCCATCCCAAAACAACCCCCCCACCCCATTATTTCCCTTTAATATTTTTCAGGCAGGGTACAAATCCGGAGCAGTACATACATTTAGGTGTATTTCAATGCACTGTGGTTTTGTGCTTTTTTTGTGTGGCTGTGCATGATTTTGTGCACGCATGTGGATTTTTGTGCACGCACCTGCCCTTAGGGACACGCTGGCTTGCTTTTCCGCGGGCACGTGTGGTGGTTTTTGCAGGTGCATCACTGCAGCAAGACGGGAGGATTCTACAACCCCACTCACCCTTTCCCCCCCACCCCCTCACCTTTAACCATTTTAATTTGAGCCGCTGTGCTGGCAGAGCAATACCCACGTACCGTACCACGAAAGTGTCACCCAGAGATGATAAAAACACCTTCCCATCTAAAACAAACCTTCAAACCTTGCACCCAGCAAGAAGGGAGGCCAGGAAAAACCTGCAGCCCTTTTTTATTTCAAAATAAAGCCAACGGCCACCACCGCTGAAGGCACTTGGCAGGAATGGGGAGAGGGATTTGGGAAGGATGAACGTTTGGTGCTGAAGCTGCTTCAGGGCACCATGTGCCACCATTTGAAGGCGAAGGGCTTGCGCCGGACGTTGGTGCCACAGTGGACCTCCCCGGAGAGGATGTGGTAGGAGAAATAGTCGTCGATGAAGGTGCAGGTGAGGCCCAGGGGCTCCAGCAGCGCCCGCACCCGCTGCTCCAGGCAGCACTGCCCACCCACCAGTGGTCCGAAGGGCTTGGGGATGCCCAGGTGCCTGCCCAGCACCAGCATGTTCACCTGCAGTACGGGGGTGCTGGTGAGGGTGCAAATCCCACCGCAGATTCATGCCCCAGGGGGTCAGGGCTGAGGGAGGGTGCTGAGCGTTACCATGTCGGGGAAAAAGGCTTCGGCGCCGGAGGCCACGTCGCCGTGGAAGAGCTGGGGGATGTCGAGGATGTCCGGCTCGGCCAGCCCCAGCGCCCGCTTCAGGATGTCCCTGTTCCAGCTGATGCAGCTCTGGTGGGAGCAGGGGGAGAGGTGTCAGTGGGGGAATGGGGGGATGGAGGGACAGAGGGAGAAATGGGGGGAGGGATGGAGAGATGGGTGATTGGAGGGACAGAGGGACAGATGGGGGAATGGAAGGATGGACAGAAGGAGGGTGGGGATGGGTGGGGAGACAGGGACAAAGGGATGAGTGAGCAGATGGAGGGACAGAGGGATGGACAAAGGGACGGAGGGGTGGAGGGAGGGAGGGACAGAGGGTTGGGTGGATGGACATGGATGGACAGAGGGATGAGTGGACACAGGTGTGGACCAAGATGGGTGAATGGACACAAGGATGGACATAGAGATGGATAGAGAGCAGGATAGAGGGACACAGGGATGGACAGAGATTGGAATGGGTGAAGAGATGGAGGGACAGAGCAACAGAGGGATGAAGGGATGGACAGAGGGATGGGTGGACAGACAGAGGGACAAAGGGGCGGGTGGATGGATGGATGACTGGACAGAGGGTTGGAGAAATGGAAGGACAGGGAAGGCTGGAAAGGAGCCCCCTGCTCCCCTGCCTCACCTGGACATAATTATTGAATTTCCGGAGGCCTTCGTTAGCCAGAATCTCGTTTATCGTGGGCTTGGGCACCCCCTCCAGTCCTGCAGCACAGATAACCCGCAGGAAGTCTTCCCCCAGCACGTGTGGGACGAGACTGCCAGGTCTGAGCCAGGAGCTCCCCCATTTCAGGGGTCATGGGCAGTGAGCTCCATCCCAACCCAGGAAATCAAATCTGTGCAGCTTTTTAATTAATTCTGCTTAATTCTACCTCCCATCCTTTCTGCAGGCAGCACTTTCCAGCCATTAGCTGGGTTTCAGGGTGTTGTATATTTACCCGCCCTGTTGCACGTTGCAGGAAAAAGGGAAAATGAACCCATTGAGCCCCATTTTTCATCGCTCCCCCCCTACCCTCGAACATTACTGCCTCGCCAAACCCCTCCTCTTGCTTCTCCTTCAGGAGCTGGTAGCAGGCGCTGGGGCTGGCCAGGAGCAGCCGAAAACTCTGAGGAGGGAGAAAGGGATGATTTGGGGGGTGGGAGTGTAGAAGTTTCACCCCGCTTTTTTCCCTCCCTGGGACTCATTACCTTCCGATCAGGTGCAGGGACAAAGCTGAGAAACTCATCTACGTGGCCGACCTGGAGCCAGTCTGAAAATAGCTCCACCGGTGCCTGCACTTGTTGGGCGACCAGAAAATCCTTGACGGCTTTTGCCATCCTCCGGCCGCCGAATCTGAAGGGGCACAAAGGGGAGGGCTGCCATTTTAGGGTGACTATGGTGATGCTCTGCTTGCAACCAACCTCAAATGGTGCATAAAAATCCTTTTTTTGAGGTTTTTTTTTTCCATGCTCTTACCCCCTCCATCCTGCATCTCACCTGGGGAAGCTGCTGCCGATCAGGATGCGGCCCAAGGGGTACTCCTTGCCCCGCACTGTCACGGGGGGGCTCACCTCCAAATTCCCAAAGGAATCGAGGCTGGATGTACCCTCTGGTGCTTGCCGGGCCACATAACCAAAATCAGGGCCCTGGATGGGGAAAAAAAAGGTGATAATGGTTTAAAAAAAAAGGTAAAAATGGCTTTTAAAAAAGCCTTAAGCACCTAGAAGTCCGGCGTGTCCAAATCACCCTCTGTGCTGGCTCTTCCCAAAAAAAGCAAGGAAAATAATAGATGTATTCTAATCTTTTATGGGTTTCTAAAGCTTTACGCCTTGCTGGGGGAGGGAGGAGGAAGGGGTCGGGTACCAGGATGCTCTTGACAGGGAAATCCTTCAGCCCCCGGTCGCGGGGCGAGTCGAAGACAACGGGGAAGGTCTTGTGGGGGGCTTGCACGTAGCCAAATTCAACCTCATCCTGCAGAAGAGATGGAGAAGATGAGGGGGAGCCCCCCCAGGAGCTGCTGCAGCAAGGATGGGGCTGGGCATCATCCTGCACCCACCTGGATCCAGCGGTCCTGGCGGTTCTCCAGCAGTGGGCAGACGGTGAGCGGACACTTGGCTTTCTCGGCCACGGCGCCCACGGCTGCCACGAAATCCTCATTGTCATCCACGCTGGGGAGAAAAATGGGATATGGGAGCTGATCCAGCACCGGGCAGGATGAGGCCACCCACCCAGCACCCACCTGCAGACAAAGACCTCCAGCGGTGCTGCCGTGTTGGGGGTCATGATCCACGGAGCCACACGGAAAACCACCGTGTCAGTGAATATCGGAGTCTCCAGCAAACCCTGGGGGGGTACACACAGTTTTTGGGCTCTGCTCCCCCCAGTTATGACTCACCCCGACACCCCCCCCCCAGCCAGTACCTTCTCAGGGCTCTCCAGCAGCGTGATGTGGAAAGCCACCAGCCCTGAAAAGCCAACATCGGGGAAGGCGAGTCCCTCCACATAGAAGATGCTCTCCTCCTGATGCCGGCTGGGTTTGACAGTGTAGGCCAGCTTTGAGCCCCCCAGTACGTGCTTGTACTCCTCCAGCGCGATGCTGTCTGCAGGTACAAGCACCATGCAATCCCCTTAAACAGCCGATCCCTTTTCCGCAGCATTTCAGCCCTATTTTTTTACTAAAACCTTGCAAAAAAGGCAAGAGCATGCACAGGAGAAAAATCACCCAGCCCATCAGATAAAACCCCACCGTAGGATGTAGGTGGGATGCTGCAGAAGTGGTACCCACTCTGCTGCAAGCATTTGGCTTGAACTGCAATAATTTGGGGTGTCTTTCCCCCCCTGCCCAAACCCCAGCATCGGGCACTCACTGCCGCCGTAGAAAACACCAACTTTATCAGCATCGCCAAAGTCCACATGGAGCACGAGGCGGTGGCCGGTGAAGATGGTGCGGGGACCTCGGGTCCGCAGCACCATCTGTGACATGTCCTTCAGGTCTGGGGTGGAAAAGGGGTGTAAGAAAGGAAAAACTGGGGGGAAAAAAAATAGGAAAACGGGGGTTTCTTGTATGGGATGTGCTGGTACCGGCGTAGGAGCGGATGGCGGTGTCACGGTTATCTGGTGTCTCGGCTTTGGGATCGTCACGGTCACAGTTCACCAGCAGGATGGCCCCGTGGCCATCGGGACCCCATGTCCATGTCGTCTAGTTGGGGGGGACACACCGAAGCAGGGCTGGGAGTGTCAGCCATCACCCCACCCCCATTCCACAGTAGTCCCAGGGGCTCCCACCCTTTCTACCTTATCCAGCAGCGTCCTGCTCACCGCCCCGCTGCGGGTAGTGTCAGCATCCAGCGAGACCTCTGCGGGGAGAGGGATGCTGGAGGAGGGGGGGGCATCCCCACGGGTGCCACAGTTTGGGGGTTCCCCCCGTGCCACTTACCCACACAGGTGAGGTACAGCATGGCTCTGCCCACGGGCACCCCGCCAGCCTCCCTGAAATACGAAATCCTGACCTGCAACAAGGAGCGGGTGCTTGTCACCGCGCAAAGAAGGGCCGGATCCCGCCGGCAGGCCAGCACCCACCTTTTCATCGCCCACGTCCTTGCTGAGAGCATCCATGGCCAGCAGCACCTCGGCGCCGGGGGCCAGGGGCCATCGGCCCACACTGGAGGGCAACTTGACGCTCTGCGTCTCATGCACCACATAGAGCTTCACACCCGGCGTCCCCTGAACGTGGAAGGCGATGGCATCTTTGGGTGCAGATCTGGGGAGGGGGAAAAGTGCGGTGAGAGCCCCGGGTGG